TTTGTAATGACAGATAGAGAACATACAAATTGTGGGAATAGTAGTCACAATCTCTTCAAGCTTGTGCTTATACAGAATGGTCGTCTCACGAACAGTATCAGGACCCTAAAAAGCCTTAAGGATAACCATACAGTCTAGAGGAGAGAAGGATATAAAAAGGAACCAACTGGTGCTGGGCTGGAGGCTCCACCTGAGTTAAGTGGTAGGAGATCAATGGCGCGAGTTAAAGGCATTGGCCTTGTTGCCCTGAACAACGGCGTGGATCAAAGCCCAATTGTCCCTCACTGGTTAATATCCCCAAACATCCACTATTTACAGTAATAAACCAGGGCACGGGTCCCACAACTTGATCCGAACCGCTGGATCTTTCCACCAAGACCCACAATTAACAGGAGATGCCTTGACGAGAGTGAAGACGTACGGAAATAGCCAGTGGCTCGGAGTTGAGGAAGAAAGGAAGGGTGGGAAAATGGAAAAAACCCTACTTAAACACCCAAAGTTACTGAAAAATAGCATTTATGCCCCTAAACTAAAAACAAAGCAAATAAACCCTCCAACTCCACTAATGATGCAAATAAACCCTTCTCACAAATGGGCAATATATATTATAGAACATTTTGTCTCTACTTCAAAAACCATTTTTTTTTTCCTTATATAAAACCTTAAGTTAATTTTTTTTTAACATGAAAAATTTTGAGAAAAGGGTAAGTTTATAAGTAATTGGTGGGAGTTAAACCCCCAATCACTTAAACCCAAACTCTTAAATTTAATGGTGAACTATAGGTGTTTTGAGTTGGCTCTTGGCTACCTCCCTTCATGCTAGATGTTGGTTTTGTTATTTTATTTATGTTGGATTAATTTTTGCTTATGTTTGGAACAAATATGTTGTTTTATGTTGGATTAATCTATATTTATATTTGGAACAGTTTATGTTTGATTAATCTTTATTTATGTTTGAAACAAGTTTATTGATTTAATTATTTATATTAAATCAATCTTTATTTATGTTTGATGTAAAAATTATATATTTAGATATTAATTGGTGGGAAATGGGAATCCTCGCGAGGATCCCTATTCCTTGCCAAAAATGGGGATGGGGATTGGGGGGGGGGGAATCTGCCCCTAGTCAAAAATCATCGCGAGAATCCCCATCTCTGCCACTCGCGAGGACAGGAACTCTCCAGCCTCGCAGAGCCCTGCTGACATCCCTAATTCTCTAGTATGTATTTTTACTAATTAACGACCTCCCTAATAAATGGCCTTGGCTTCTCTCCTCTCATCTCCTCTCACATCACTTCATCTATATATTAATTAAACCTCTTCCACCCTTTTGATTTTCATCACCTCAGTTTCCACTCTTTTTTCACCAACCAAGCAACAATAGCTGCTGCATTAATGCCTCAAGAACCTTTGTTCTTCAATGCTTTGTTTACTAATCAATTTGAATCCAACAATATACCATCATAGTTCATATGGCTCACAAATGGACTAAACAATATTTTATGTTTAATATCACCTTGAAAGCATGAATATCCATGAATGAAAAGGGTTTATTTGCATCATTAATAGAGTTGGAGGGTTTATCTACTTTATTTTTAATTTAGAAGCTTAAATGCTATTTTGGGATAAGTTTGAAGGGTTAAGAAGGGTTTTTGCCTAAGAAAATTGGAAAAGGTGGAGGAAACTGGTACATGACAAAGTTTTAAAGATGTGGTTTTGATTTGTTAAACCTGGATGAGTTCAGAACTGAACACGTGGTAGAAACATGATCCTCATAAGATCCAAATCTAGTGTATTGCAGTCAGTCTTGATGAGCTAAATTTATATATATAATAATGTGAAATTTTTACCTTGATATTATTAATATTTGGATGAGTTTTATGAGTTTTATGAGATTTTACTTTATTTTACACAATTTTAATTGTCTGTGTAAGAAAGGACTTCATTCGAAGAAATCATAACTTTTAGGAGTAAATTGCAAAGATCAGAAACTTGAGGATCAACTTGTGCAGAATCCAGAATTCAGGCACCAGGACTGTTACTTACCGTTACAGAAATAGCTAAGGCCAGAAATCCGACATGGTGATGACATTGTGCGCTGAACAGAAGTATCGGCACCTTATTGAAGGTGTTGACCCTGCACGCAATTTTTATTAATTTATTATTTTGAGTGTGGATCCCATTTCTATTCTAATTAGGGTTTTTGAAACCCTATAAATACCCATCCAAATTTAGAATTAAAGGGAGAGCTTTGGGAGGTTGGTGGTACCCCTTTTCTGGGTATTATTGGAGATCAATATAAAGATTTTATCAACAATAGAAAATCAAGGAGTCTAATTCTTTCAAATTAGGTTTTGTTTTTCCTTGTATTCTTTTTATCTATTATTTGATATTCGAATGTTCATAATTACAATTTCAAGTTTTATTATTTTTATTATGAACTGATTTAGTTAATTAGGGTTAAGATGTAGCCTAATCAATTCAATATGAGTTTTTATGATTTTTACACATTTGAAATTGCTATTTCATGATAAATATATATTATTCTTAATGCTTTTAATGCTTGATCACCATTAAAACTAATTTGGAGAGCATAATTCAAACCGAGACGAGATTTTATACAATAACTTCTAAGAATATATACAATGAACTGAACAAAAGCTAAAGATGGACAACGTGATTTGTGCAGCATTAGTGATAAGTAGACTTAATTTTCTACGTATACAAGGGAATTTCACAAAATATAATGCATCTTTATTTATTTAAATTCATATAGAGATATAGTAGGTTAATAGATTAAAATAGAATTGGTATAACTTGGGAAAAGTATATGGTTAAATGCTTAATTTGGTCCCTAAACTTTAAGAAATGAACATTTTTGGTCCCTCAACAATTTTTTGCACTTTTTTGATCCCTCAACTATACGAAATGCATTCCGTTAGTCCTTCTGTTAATTTGGGCCGTTAACCTTGCTTATGTGGCATTTTTTATATTTTTTTTGATGACGTGGAGAGCAAAATTTAAAAAAGTGATGACATGGATAAAACTTTTGCCATGTCACATGCTACCTGGCGAAAACACACTAAATCCATTCAAGTGGGTCCCACATCACCACTAACAATTACTTCTTTGCCCATCGATTATGAAATTCGACAGAACCAGCAAATCTGGGTTCGATGTAATCCAGCAAATAGGTTCCATCGAACCCAGCTCAATTCACTTAACTCAATTGTCCAAAAATCCCTCGCAACAACCTGCAATTTGAATAATCTCTTGGCAAACAATTCAAATCTCTTGGCAAACAATCATATAAACACAAAAAA